TATATATATATATTACAGCCTTATTACACGAATTAAGGGAATCTTTGTGTTTTCAATGGGATCTTGTGTAATTTATCGGTCTTTGGGTAAAGATCATAGACGGTAAAGACGCTTTGGAAGATTAAACAGTTTAATTGACGACCACAAGATGGCAGAAGTCCCTCACTACAGCAGATTCAAAACAACAGTATAGATATATATCGCTAATGGAAAATGAAACAGTTTTTGGAAATACATAACGCTCGTTCAGTATTATTTTGGTGAAGTCGGTAAGACATCAGGAGCCTTGGTTCATGTATTCTAAAGTGTGTACAGACCACTATCCGTATTTTCAAAACTATTTTCTGAAGGATAAATACAACCAGACCGATTTGTTCATCTTTGTCTTTTCTATTTGTGTTTCTCTAGGATGCTTCTGCATTTGGGAGGCTGCAGGGGGAAGATGGGCATTCTGCTCATCAGGAGAGTGGGTTTGTTTTGTCGTTCTGCCCACTTGTCTCCCCAAAGCCTGGAGTATCGACCGATCAAAAAGGTCATGGTGGCAAACAGAGGTAAAACTTGTAATCCCGAGATTAAATATTTTGCAAACAGTGAAAAGACCGTAGAAAGGGAAAGTCTGATCCATGGATTAGTGCTCTGAAAATCTAAATACACACAGGCCCAGGAGTGCTGCATTTTAAATAAATTTTCAGCATAATCTGAAAATGATTTACTTGTTATTATTTAGCCACCCTCTTGTTATTTACTCATCAGATCCTTGTGTTGTTATTTATTCACCCAACTTGTCATTTCAAATCTTCATGCTTATGGCCTCATAAGATGCAGGGTTTTTCAAACTTTTTGATGCCATATAGGCTACCCCAAATCTCCTTTTTATAATTTTTTCTCCCTTTAATTGTTATGGTGCTTTTTGTTGTCATTGTTCTGTCCTAAGAGGAACTGACAGATGTGGGCTCATTTCGGGGTGAACTACCACTACCATCCACTAACCACAGTATACATTTCACAAATTTGACTTAATTTTTTTCCTGTTTTAAAATTGTTTCGCTTTCTCCCATCAGGTGAAATAGCCATCCGGGTGTTTCGGGCATGCACAGAGCTTGGGATCCGTACAGTGGCTGTATATTCAGAGCAGGACACGGGGCAGATGCACAGACAGAAGGCAGATGAGGCTTACCTCATTGGCAGAGGCCTGTCCCCTGTTGCAGCCTATCTCCATATCCCTGACATAATCAAAGTGGCTAAGGTTAGGCAGTTATATATCTATCCGTCAGACTGTGATTCACCTTATCTGTCACTCTCTGAATGACGGCCTGTCTGCATTGTGCACTAAACGCATCTCTTCCAGTGCTTAGTATTCACATCAGCACTTCACTATATGGTGCTCAAATAGATCCATTCCTGTTTTTTTTGGAACAGTGTCAGAGATGCCAGCCAGAATCAGATCCTTTGGCGAACTCTCTCATTATGCTACAGGCAGCTCATCTCTCAAACCAGCAGCTTAGCCACCACAGCAATGCACTAATAATGCATAAACACAAAGCATAACACACATGCAACTCCACACCATATTAAAACCGAACAAGCAGCCAACATCATCGTCTCTAACCTCAGCAGACGGTCTCAGAATAATTTGTCTTTCTCCAATGCAATTACCATGTTGCACACAGTCAGCCAATGGAGAGAGAGAGGCCTTTCGAATTCTCTCTGATTGGGATTTTAATGAAATTAGTATTTTCCAGCATCAGAATAATTAGGCCTGACTGCTGTGCCACATACACATCCCTGACTAATGTTTTTTTCTTTCTGTTCTCATTTCTCTCTCTGTCTTTCTATCTCTCGCCCCTTCTGTATTTCTCTGCCTGTGCTTTTCTCCCTCTCAGGAAAATAATGTGGATGCAATCCACCCTGGTTATGGCTTTTTATCAGAGCGCGCAGACTTTGCCCAAGCCTGTGTTGACGCCGGGATAAGATTCATTGGTCCTTCCCCAGAGGTTGTGTGCAAGATGGGGGATAAAGTGGAAGCCCGTGCCCTGGCCATAAAAGCAGGTACCAAATTTACTCCTGAGATTCCTTTCTACATAGGGGTGGGATAAATAGTATCAGGGTAACCTTAGCACCAGGGTACTTGCAATATAATAATGAATTTCTATATTTATATAATTAATTTATATAATTATGATTAAGTGTTGCAGTTGATTTCACCTGAAGCTTTTAGAGAATGGCAGTGTAGAATAAAACAACCAAGAAGTTATATATTTATGCAAGAAAACTATAATTAATTATTAATAGTAATTATTAATATGCAGTATTTGTTCATATTATTAATATTTAATTCTATTTGATTAACTTAACACTTACAGGCTAATTATAGTCATGTTACATAACTTTTTCTCTGTCAACCAAAATGGTTCTAAACGAAGCCACTGCAGAATAAATTGCATGTTTTTGAACAAATGGGTTGAGTGGATGAATCAATGACTCACTCATAAACACTCATTTCCTGAATAAATCAGTGTTTTGTCAATCAGTGAATGAATCGGTTAAATAAATACATGTGAATCAGTGAATCAATAGGACAGTCTTATCATGTCGTCACCTATACTGGCTTAACAATGTAACTGGCAGAAAGAGCCACTGAAAAATCACTGCTACTAATCCATCTACAGAGTTGTGACAGCAGTTTTTGACCAGAAGTCTCAGATAGGAAGTTAAGGCACAGCTTATTGACTCTTGGACTTTTGGTTAGGGTTAGTGGTAGATTGAGGTTAGGCATTCCTCAGCTTTACCAAACTGCTGTCACATATGGCTTTGCAGCTGGATATACAGTATCTGACTGACTGGCAGTCTGTCTGGAATGCGCAAACACAAACAAGTGGATACAAACAGTGAAAAATGACTAAATTTGCCACTCAGCAAATCAAATTAAATCAAACCAGGCAATATAATGAGAACATTTGTTAAGGGTAAGAGCCTTTCATGACACTATTACTGAATTTACGCTGTAAGGTGTAAATCACGGATCCAATCTTTTGACAAATCTCCTTTTTTGCCCCATATGTTACTTTCACTTCACATACTTCAGACATAACCAGCTGTGTTTACATGAACACCTGTCAAGGCTGTCAGTCAGCACGATATAAGCTTGTTAGGTGTTTCTAGTAGGCCTAGTAGTCCTCAAGTGTTTAACCCGACCACTCTAAAAAGAGCATGTTGTTATTTTACATGTCCTTGTTCTTGAAAAATCAATAAAACTTCTAGAAAATGTAATTAATTATTCAATGGAGAACAGGCTGCCTTGATAATTCACACATAGCATTATGTGTATTATTTTCATTACCTTCATAAAGTGAATATTTCTGTGTGTGGTCATTCGAAATAAAATATGGCATATTTCTCTTTGGGAAATATGAGAGATGCTTCCTCTTACAATGTATAATGCTACATTTCGCTAATTCACAGTTATTTAAAGAAAAAAATAATTGCTCTTCATGTCCTTCACTTCATGATAAAATGTGAAAAGGGCTTTGAGTGTATAACAAAACCTGTATGAGTCAGTGATTTGCTGTTTGTATATTGATGTACAGTATGCTAATTTCTGCAAAATTTGTGCTTGACAAAACAACTTCAAGTTGGTTTGCTGGTTTTTCCTGGTTTAATCTAGTCTACTTGATCCCCTGCCTGTCCAGGCTGATATAGCTCCCAGCCTAAACCACAGACAAGTGCTAAGGACCCTTGGGCCCTATGATTTCCGCGATGTGGAAAACGCTGACGGAATTGCGGAATCCAGTCATAAAAACTACCGTCATATCATATACACACAGAAATGTAAAGGTATTCATGGCAACCTATCAAAATAAAAGTTAATTAACTTTAAGACATTGTGCCAGAAATATATTACTATTAAACAGTAGAATGTACGTAATACTACTACTACTACTACTAAAAATATATATAAAAAAAAAATTAATGAATAATCACTGAATATTTCTTCCATGTTTACATTTTAATAGTAAATCCCCATTGTTTGCCCAAAAATAAAGTTTGTTTAATTTTCATTAATTAAAAAACAAATCAATGTTTTATGCTTTCATTTGATAACCAGAAAAAAATACAGAAAACACCACATAATTTCTGAGAGAGAGAGAGAGAGAGAAAAAACATTTCATAAGGCCATTGAAAGAATAAATTTGAAAAATTAAGTTTTTTTTTTTTAGGCATTCAAATAATTAGACATGCTAAAACACAGAATTTGGTAACAACATAATTTGGTAACTTTTAATAAATTGATGTTAAATAGCTTTTTGATTAATAAAATTGAATTTAACCATCAAAAAAGGAGTCCAGAAAAAATATATGGTAAAAAAATGAATCTAGAAAAATTAAAACGGAAAAAAAAACGAGAAAAAAAAAAAAAAAAAAAAAAAAAAAAAAAAAAAAAACGGAATTTGGGCAAAAATAAAACGGATTTCATAGGGCCCTAGGACCCCTGAGAAACAGTTAAACACCTTACATCATGTCTACACTGGACACAACAAAGTGACCGTTCCAAATGCATTTGTCCTTTGTGTCAGAAGTAGTGCGAGCACTTGGAGTATGTCAGAAATAGAATGGGCATCAGTTTACTAACTATGCTTCTTGGTTTCCTACTGTTGAGATGCTTCTGCTCAGCGCTTGTGCTTTGCTATCTTTTACTTTGGAATTTCTCTTTAATTTCCTGTTCAGCAGAGAACAAGTAGTGTTCTCTATATTGGCTTTCCTTATCAAACACTGTTTCTACACTGTGCCGATCACACTGCACTGATCTTTTTAAATCCTCTTTTTCTTTTGAGTCCCTTATATTAATTTTAATGAATCTTATTTTATTCTAACTAATTTATTATTTTTACCTCTTTTATTGTATATATATTTTAAATTTTTATATTTCTAATGACACTTTTTATGATTCTTTTTTTTAAATATATTTTTTAAAGCACTTTGAATTATCACTATGTATTAAATATGCTATATAATTAAACTTGCCTGCCTTGCATTGCCTTTGCTTACTGTCAGGAATTGTCATGTCGCGTTGCACCGCATCCAGTGTAGACAATATCACTGATTATAATGGGTTTTATTGTCTTTTGTCGCGTTGTGCCACTCATGCCGCTCATGCTGTTAGGGTAGATATATATATATATTTTTTAAATGAGAGTATTAATTACAAAAGTTTGTGAAATAAGAGGAGATTCAGGTGTGTGTGTGTGTGTGTGTGTGTGTGTGTGTGTGTGTGTGAAGGTGTTCCAGTTGTTTCCGGAACAGACGCACCCATCTCATCTCTTCAAGAGGCTCAGGAGTTTGCCAAAACATATGGCTTTCCCATTATCTTTAAAGCTGCATATGGAGGAGGAGGCCGTGGGATGAGGGTGGTCCGAGATTATGAGGTCTGTGTATCTTCTGGCCCATGAAGGCATCAAAAATTAAATGACCATAGAATCAGAAATCCATCATATGTCACTGTGATAATAACAGGGCAGCCATCTAAATATACAGAGCGCCACAGCGATTACACTTATTACTTATAACTGCATCTACAAATTAAACTGAAATAGAAAGTATTTTAAAATTGAAAAGTTGCACACATCACTTTTTCACTCAAAGGCTCAGGAACATTCTTGCTAGACCCAAAAAATCACCCTTTTCCTGTAAATAAAAAAAAATATTATCTGACATTGTGTTCTGACAGTATCTGACAGTAGTGCCCTTCTCCCCTTAAACATAATTGTTTCATGGCTAGCCCACTAAACTATGCCGATTACGACTGTTAATGGGCCTCATTTTCTGCAGATGTGTATACACTATATACTGTTTATGTCAGTATATACTGCCTATTTTACGACTGCATTCAATTGTGTTATGGTACGATAGATGCTCATTGTCCTCTACTTGACATGTGGACATGCACATGTGACAATTACTACTCCAGTGCAATACTAAATCACATTGACATTGCTTGCTCTACATAGTCCATTTGCTGTATTTATTGCCTGTATTTACAGTCACTAGTGAAAAGTGTTTAGTGTTTATTGCCTCTTTCTACCAGGCTCTGTGAGACAAGTGAACAAGCACTGTCTTGTAAAGAGTGTTAAATAGTGTTTCTGAATGGCTTCTGAAGAGACTTCATTTCATGTCTTCAACTACTTCACAGAAGAGAAATGAAAGCATACCAAATTCAACCTTTCATGAAAACAATTGACTGATCACCAAATGACATTAGTGAATGTTTGGCCTTTGTTCCACTAATAGAAATCATTGCCATTTTATTCTCTACTGTTCTGGATTTGCTTTCAGTTTATCAGACACACTCGAACCCTTTGGATTATTTCAATTTAAAACAATGGAAGGCTTTTGGAACAATGGAATATTATATTATATTATATTATATTATAATAAAAAATAAAAATAAATAAGCAGCACAACCGTTTTCAGATTTGACAATCATATAAATGTTTCTTGAGCACCAAATCAGCATCTTAGAATGATTTGGAGTAAAGGCTGCTGAAAATTCAGCTATTCCATGATAGGAATCAATTACATTTTAAAATATATTAAAGTAGAAAACAGTTATTATAATATTTCATAATATTACTGTTGTTACTGTATTTTATCAGGTATTTAATTGTTATATTTCATTACTGTTCATTCCTGTTTTTACTGTGTTTTTTTAAATAAAATTAGCATAAGAAACATTTTTTCTTATTTACTTTTTTATTCACTTTTCTTACTGACTGCACACTTTTTAACAGTAGTGTAAATACAACAAGTATTTTGGCCTTTTTATTATTGTAATATTGAATTTTGTGACTGATTTACAGGAATTAGAGGAGAACTATCAGAGAGCATATTCAGAGGCTCTGGCGGCATTTGGTAATGGTGCTCTGTTTGTTGAGAAGTTCATCGAGAAACCACGCCACATTGAAGTACAAATTCTTGGTGAGTATATTAATCCATGTATTTTGTGTTTGTGTATGTTTGCATTTACAAAAGAAACAGAGAGAGAGATAATATAAGAATTTGTCTGCTAGTCCCTAGACTGCGTGCACATATTTGTTTACTATGCTTACTATGATCTATTAGCTTCTCTCTGGTGTATTTGAGCCATTATAGCTGAGTATTTTGGCTCATTAGACGTGATTTGCTCGTCTGGAACAGAGCTCATAGTCGATAACATACAGCTGGAATTGAATTGGGCTTGTTAACAGAGAATGGCTCTGTGTGTGTCCAGGAAACACCAACCACATGCTTTCTTTCTCTCTCTCCCTTTCTCTCATTCTCAAATAAACTGATTTTTATGACTGTCTTCTTGTCCTAAACTGTGAATCTAATACCAAAGCTATGTTGACAAATATCTGAGATACAAAATAATTCATTTAAATTCAAAGGAGAGTATCAACAAAATCCAGCATTTTCATTAGAAGAGGACTGTTTTAACAACAATTTTAAAGCAATTGTATTATCTTGCTTTCATTTTCTGTAACAGGATGAAATGTTTTAGGGATAATACAAAGAATATCAGAGATTTTGCAAATGCATGGCTAATTCTTGCTCATGATTTTGTTGTTTTCCCACAAAAAAGTTGTCACTTTCTTGTTTTTTGTAACTAAAGGGAGATTACAAAAGACTAACAGGATTAAAGTGCAGTTGAGGACACAGTAAAGACCTACAATATGAAATGACTGCCAATTAAAGCAATATTCATGAGAAAACATTGGTTAGACAAAGGAAATAAGAAACACCTGAAAAAGATCATAATAAATGTCCAGTGTTTCATGTGACATGACAATAATGGCAACATCTGCTCAAAGCAAAGTAGTAAATTGATTAAAAAATTCATCCTTAGTTCAATTATTTGTGATAAAACGAATGTAATTTTTATCTTTAAAACTTGCTTAATAAAAAGAAAATATTTTATTCAGTATATTGAGACGGGACATGGAAATGTTCTGCATTGTGGGAGTAACCCAGTCAGGCAAACTTAAACCTCTCTCCTCGCATCTCTCTCTGTCCTTTCTGATCAATATTATTCTTCTCACTTTCACTCACAGGTGATAAATATGGAAATGTAATTCATCTGTATGAGAGGGATTGCTCTATCCAGAGAAGACATCAGAAAGTGGTAGAGATCGCTCCTGCTGCCCAGCTCGACCTTCACCTCAGAGACAGACTGACCTCAGACTCGGTCAACCTGGCAAAACAGGTACAGAACAGACACACATGTGAATAATTGAAGTGTTCAACCTGCAACCACAGCTTACACATATATTTCTCTTAGCAGCATACTTAGCATGCCCTTCCTGAGCTTTCCTCTAGACAGTGTGAGTCAATCAACTCAAGGTTTTAATATCTTCTCTCACTTCATTATGCCTGGTCACATGCACACACACACACACACCTTCAAGGCAGGTTTCTCTTGACTCTTTTGCTATATGTTTGTATTGAATGATTAACATATGTTAGTTCTCAGTGCTGGTCTGTCAAAAGATCTAGTCACAGAGGAATGTGTTTTATTTATTGATGTATTAAGCAGAGGCTGATAAATGGAGATTGAAGCGATCAATGAATTATTGGTAGTAAACTCCCAGTGATGTCTGTCATTATGGAGATATGTGTTGCACCACCTACATAATTTCTCTCTTACTCTTTCTCTGTATCTGTCACGCTGTCTTCTTTTTCTTTCTATGTAAGTATAGAAGTAGACAGTTCTATAGAAGTAGAAAGTAACAAACTTGCAATCACATCATTTGCTGCATGGCACAAGCTGATTGATTCTGCTGATATAAATATACAGTATATATATATATATATATATATATGCAGTATGTGTGTAGTGTATGTATGTTGTGTGTGTATATATACATACATACAGTATATTCAAGTCAAGTCACCTTTATTTATATAGCATTTTATACAATACAGATTGTCAAAGCAGCTTTGCAGTGTTAAGCAGAAAATAGTGTGTCAATAATGCAAACAAAAAATAAATTCTGCTGTAAAGCAGCTTTAAAAAGAGGACAATAGTAACAGTTAACTTTTCAGTTAAAGGCAGTTCATTGTTGATTCAGTGATGTCATCGTCCAGATCAGTTAAATTCTCTTCCAATAGTGTCTGTGCAATCAAGTCGATAGTATTGTCAAAAATTAAGTGTCCCCAACTTAGCAAGCCAAAGGCAACAGTGGCAAGGAACCAAAACTCCATCGTGCCAGAAATGGAGAAAAAAAACATTGGGAGAAACCAGGCTCAATCGGGCTCATTTTTCCTCTGGCCAGACAAAACCAGCATGGTGTGGTTTAATTCCAGGCTGCAACACAAGTCAGACTGTGCAGAGGACTCATCTGGTTCTCGTGATCTTGTGCCGACTACTGTCTAGTTGACGAGGTGTTCACAGGGGATCTGTCCCTAGGGCTTATCTAGTTGATGTGGTCTCCGCTGACATTCAGGGCTGTAGAGGTCGTCTCTAGGTGCTGATCCACCATCTGGTCTGGATACAGACTGGATCTGGGTGGCTACGGTGACCTCGGAATAATAATGAAACAGACTAATATTAGTGTAGATGCCATTCTTCTTACAATGTAACAAGTACATCTGGTGTTATGGTAAGTGTTCCTGATTCCGGTTGACCTAATTAATGCAGCCTAACAATCCTTTAACGGATTTGAATTATAGAAAAGCGATAATGTGCTATGTGTATGCCAGGTTAAACAAATGGGCCTTTAATGAATGATATCTTTATTTCAGACTCAAAAAGGTCCATATAAAATAAAAAAGCATACAAAAACAACATACAACATGGATAACAACAACAACAAATAACAAGAAAATAATTTACATCTAATGTCCATATAAGAACTTTCTCCAGTGCCTCCAAAGTGCAGAGGTGTACCTAACAGTGCTCTTCTCCAAGATCACAATAATTTCATTTTTAGAGGCCTCAAGTCGCTTTATAAATTTATACACAATTTCTGATAACAGCATATAACATGGGCGCCTGATTCTGAACAAAAAGCTGACTGGCACTTGTCCACCGAGGGACTTTTAATAAAAGTCGCAATGCATCATTGTATGCAACCTGCAACTTGTTAAATTTAGCTTTACTTGAGGGAAACACGGCCTTACGATCCTCCTTTGTCCTCACCATTATAACAACTCTTTTTGGTGTTAAACTATAAATCATATTGCTCACCATAGTCAGAGCAGACTCTAAGCAACTGTTGCAGCCCAGCAGAGTAAGGTGAAATTACGACTAGGTCATCTGCATACAGCAGATGGTTCAAAAGTCTTTCTCCCACCATGCAGCCAGTCTTACAATTTTTAAGTCTCTGAGTAAGATCATCCATATAAAGGTTAAAAAGCATGGGTGACAATATTCCACCCTGTCTAACCCCATTTGTCACTAAAAAAGGCTCCGATATAATCGTGCCCCATCTAACCTGCATTGTTTGGTGTGTATACCAAAAATGCAGAACCCGTACTAGGTATGGGGGAACCCCTCGCTGCTGTAATTTTACAAATAACTTTCCATGATTAATGCGGTCAAAGGCTTTAGAGGCATCTAAAAAGCACAGACACATAGTGGAGTTCTGCCTTCTGTACTTACTCACAGCCTCTTTCAATGCATAGATACACATATCAGTCCCATGCTTACTTTTAAAACCAAATTGCTCATCATTGGTAATAACATATTGCTGAAATCGATCCAGTAGTATTATCTCTAATACCTTAGACATCACGCTGGCTAAGGCAATAGGCCTATAGTTTTCTGTGCTAGATATTTTCCCTGTTTTGTCTTTAATTACAGGTACCAGCAAAACAGAAAGCATAGAACTGGGCAATGTGCCATGAATCAACATTCCAGTAAAACACAAGGCCAATAAAACAACAAGTCTGTGACTAGCAAATTTCAAATGCTCTGCTGTGATCTGATCTAGGCCACAAGATTTATTCAGAACTAATTTTCCTATAGCAGAAGCTACTTCCTCAGCCGTGATAACCTCATTATTAAAAGACACATTCCCAATAATGAAATAGTCACTTTTAACACAATTGAATAGATCACTGTGCTTTTTTTTTACACAATGCTTTCTCCAAAGATCTGCAATATTTTCATATCCAGTTACCCCTTCAACACTAGAGGGCAGAGGAATTTTACTAGCATTCATGACTTTAACTTCTTTCCAGAAATCTTGTATATCATTTTGTAATAATTTCTTAGCCAAAGAATTAGCTCTGAGACAGAGTTAAGTTTGTCCAGATCTTGTTTCGGGAGGAAGGTTTCCTGTACACATAAAATGTCTGTGTTCTCAAGCAGTTTGTCAACAACGAGCCGTCGAGCCTTATCCGCCACAGTTTGACCCAAACGCAGACCACGAGTGTTATATGACACGACTCTCATTATATGTCAATTTAATCTACTGGGTAGTGTGCCCCCCAAGCGCGTTCGCCTTAGCATCTTCAGTAGCACCCTTTGATTTACGCACTTCATAGAAGCGCCACACAAACGCACCTTCTGGTCACAAGTCCGGGTCGTACATTTCCCTCACGTCGTCACACTCCGCCGTAACTTTAAATGAACTATATTGACTTTGCACAGTGTCTATCTTCATGCACGTGACCTTGCGGCCAAGTTTACCGTGCAAATAGCTTGTTAGTGTATCCGCATCTAGCTCCGGCATAAACTTTGTGGCAAAAACACTCACCAATTTAGTCCTCACAGTATAAATGTTACTACCCGGACCAGTACCAACGCCGCTACGATATCACTCTCATCCACCATGCTCTCCACGGGGAGGTCATCACTAGTCGGTCCGCTCCCGTTGGGCTCCCGCCGTACAAGTGTGCTAGATGTATCCTCCACGTCCTCATCCCCTTTCACTTCAGTTTGCTTTGGGGCCTGCATAAAACCGCGGCCATGTTGTTCAGCCGCGCACAGACGCCGATTTAGATCCTCTGACACAGCAAAAAGATCGGCAGAAACTTTAACTTGCACATTCATTTTTTGCTTCATAGCAGCTATGTCAGCACTCAGCCTCTCCATTTTAGCAAGTAGACATGACACATCAATGCTGTTAAAGGACACAGGCGGCAGTTCGTCAAGATAGTGTGACACAAAGCGAGAGATTTTGTCCCCAAGCTCGTTTAACAGAGCAAGGCAGCTTTTAACATTATTAATGTCTTTTTGTTCTCCCCTGTGCTGAACAAAGCGCTGAGAGGAACCCGGACAGAGTTCAAATAACGTTTTCCTTGAACTCGCAATCCGCTCTGACGAAAAGTGGCTTGTGACTAACAACACAAGTTCGTCCTGTGCCATCGTCTTCATTTTGACGACTAAAAAATTAAAAAACTCATCTTCCACAACAATCTTGCCATCATTAGCGGTGTAAATCTCAGACTTTGTTCTGAGAAAAGCAATAGACTCTCCTCCTGTCTGCTTCTCTCGGCAGTCCGCCATGTTATAAATGGTTTTTCTTCTAGATTTAAACTGAGAGTGTGTCTGCCTCCGTAATAATGTTAGGAAGACTGTTCCAGAGTTTGTACGCTAAATAGGAAAAGGATCTACCGCCCGTAGTTGATTTTGATATTCAAGGTATTATCAAATGGCCAGAGTTTTGAGATCGCAGAGGACATGAAAGACTATAATAGGGCTGGGCGATGTAGCTAAAAAATGTATCATGATATAATGTTTCATATCGTTTGGTATCGATCATTTTTGAATTTTTTTTATAACCTTTCTTAAACAGAGAGCAGTAGAAAAAATGTTTAAATTTAACCACTGTATTTTTTATTTACCCAATTTATTAAGACAAACAGCAACTTATTTTAGTCTTAACAAACAAAATAATAAACAAAACAAAATAACAAAATGCAATGTAAACAAATATCTATTTTCTTATATTTTATATGCAGATTAAATAAGTGTTAAGGAAACATTTGGCCTGTCTCCTGAGGCCACAGGAGGGCGCAATGAGCAAAATATAGCACCTCATTAAATTGTTTATTCAATGCAATGAAATAACGACTGTCTATAAAAAGTGCATACCGTCTAAACTAATATTTATAAATCAAATATAATTTTGTAAATTGAATAAACAATAGTGAACAAAACAGCATCATGTATTTATGCATAGCTTAATACTAATAGCATTAGCGCCGATCACACGATTGCATGTAAAAACATATGAGATGCAGTGGAATGGAATAGAACCCTCACAAATTCTCGAGACATGTTTTCTAAAAGTTGAACCTCTTTTAACTTTACATGGCTTTCTATTCATCTCTTGTGCGAGACGCGAGTGCAACAATCATAGATGTGGGTCTCAAGAAT